ACTGAGCCAGGCTTTCATTGCTTGCTTGATGCAGATATCGTTTTAAATGTCACAAGAACAGAAGAGACAGACAGTGATACTGGAAACACAAGTAAAGAAAGTACTGGCAATTACATTAGTCTCAAGATAACAATGACTTCTGTTGAAATTCTGTTGGGCTTTGTCAACCAAAGGTGATTTGAATGCATTGATGAAACCACACTTAAAAAAATATGCAGTGAAATTCAACAATATTTAAGCATTCTCAAAAACAAAGAAGAATTGCTGGTTTTAAGAAATAAACACAAACAATATGCATGAAAATTGGTAGTTTGGATTATCATCTCCCCCCCCCCCCAGTTATTCACAACCTGCTTCTCTGGCGTTAGCCTAGATAATCAAGAGTACAATGTATGAATTTTGATTGGATTAAACTTAAATTTTGATACATGAAAGAAGAAATCAAGGACGTTTAATTTAAAAAGTAATACAGTCAAAAGTCTTTAATCCGGACTAGTCGATACTTTGGCGATTCCGGATTATAGATCATCAGTTTAAATCTGGCAAGATGACATGAAGAAATTATAAAATTAAAAATATGAAACTGTAAGTTATGAAATAAAGAACCATTATGATCTAAAGTGTATCAAAATTTACACCCAAAAAAGCTTAATATTTATTTGTTTACTTTATTAAACATTTCTTTCAATGTAAGTTGTTTAATTTGCTTCGTTTTATGTGATAATACTTTCTCTTTAACTCTATAAACAGACATAATTTCTTGTTCAGTTACAAAGTTCTGCTGTTCAAGTCTTAATTGCTGTGTCGAGAATACCAACTAATTTGTCAATCGAAATTTTTTCGTTTTCAATAACCTCTGTGTCACTTTCTTCACTATCGGAAGCGAATTATAATGACGAGGAATTTAATTTGAGTCATATCAAAGATGGAGTACATCGAGATGAAATACTACATTTAGTAAGGAATTATAAACCAAATAAAATAAAAACATCTGCCCTGAAGATAAGGATAGTGCTGACAGATCAACTTCCAATTAATTGCGCGCCGTGACGCCCCCCCCCCTGGCAGTGCAGCGTGAAATTGATAAACAGATTTCGGAATGGTTAGAGAAACAAAGGATATGCCTTTAGCCATTTTTTTGCAGCAATTTTTGTTTGATGATGGATATCGAAACATACTTTCGCTTTGTAGATCCTTTGGCAGCTCCAGCATCGGAATTTCTATTTGACATAATCGAAAGTTAAGCTTACTTTTATAAAATTGCTTTAATAGTCTGTAAAAAATAATAAGCCGTATCCAATTCGAAGATTAAGGAACAACGCAATCTGCAACATTAACTGAAATAGATAATTTTAGCTTAGCTTATACTGTCCATTATACATTAAATGTGCATGCGTAAAAGTATTACGCGCTTGTGTGAACACATTATGTGTTGATGCATGCGCAGAAAGTTTGTAGCTTTGAGGTCCGGATTATAGATCATTCTGGATTATGGGTGTCCGGATTAACGACTTTTAATTGTATTATTAAATATTTGTCAAATTCAATAAACATTGTGGGGTTAAAATTTTGAGCGCTAATTTTTAAAAAATGGTGCAGTCATTTTTGAAAACCTATTAGCACTTTGGCATAATTTGAGGGGCCGAGTTGAAATATGTAAAAAAGTCTTCATATTTTATATAAAGTTTGGTTTTGTTTCAAATTTTTCTGTTCAAATGAAAATTGTTGTGTATATTACAACAGTATGTATAAATCTAATATATATCCTGAGACTAACTTTTGAAACATGGAAAATTAAATTTGAATTTCATCAGTTGAACGATCCACACTGTAACTGCTTCAAAGAAGCACTTTACCGAGCAGATTTATTCCATTTCTAGAAAGCAGAGTTACAGTTTTTGTTGGAAGCATGCTGGGAATAGAGATCTGCTATTCACGAACTTATTCATTTTACTGAGCGAACAAGTGCCTAGTTGGTGTAAAATGAGTGGAAGGAAATTGGAAGCATGTCAACTTACCATTTTAGGGGAGGAAAGAATGTTTATCCTTCCATGTTGAAATTTAGTTTTATTTTTATCATTTCCCAACTTTTTGAAAATTTTTTATTCTATAATTTTATTGTTGGTTCTGTGTAAAAGAGGCTTTCAAAACTACAGTTAAGTTCAGGTAATTAATGTTTGATTGAGTCAGGTTTTCCAATCCCACAGCTTGCTCAAATCTTTTCACTCTTTTGCTGCAACTTCGCTAACTGGTTCCAAACCCACTTCTCATTTGGTTCTTTCCACTCTTTGCTCCTTCCTCATTGACTGCTCTTGAGTTAACCATTGTGTGTGATCTTTTTCATGTAGGTTATTGTTAATGAGTGATGAGTCATAAAAAGTAATCAATTCATTTCAAAGAACAAATTGTTCTGATCCGATCTCCTAAAAGAGCAGTTTTGCCCATCTCTAATATAAAGCAACCTTATTTGTTTATTTATTTGTTTTGACTCAGTTTATGTTTTTGTGCATGCTGTGAGATACTGGTTTAACATCTATGAATCTGGATTTCACTTCCAACAGCAATAAAAGAGAAAAATAATGTATTTATTCAAAAAAAAGCAGAAAACAAAATTGGATTTGTTGTTAAAAACTGAATCTATAGCAACATCACATTAGTATTGTAAATAAATAAGACTTTTACCACACTTTTTGCTATATTGGGGGGGGGGTATTATTTAATTACTTTGCATTTTAACGCAGAAATAATAAAATATTTATTTTCAAGTAAGTTAAATAATTATTAGGAAAATTATCCTCATTAACAGGCATATAACTGCATCACTGTTGTTGTTATTCTTTTTTTTAACCCCTTCTCTCCTCCTCCCAGTTTCTTCCTTTGTCCTGGAAGAAAACCAGCCCTGCTTTGAACAGTATTACACATTTGAACTAAATTCCAACATGTATCCATTGTGTGACATGTCGCTTCCTTTGTTCTGATCTATACACAAAAGTCTAATTTTCCATTCTTTTGCTAATTGTTAGTATATTGATAACAAGTGATCAGTGAGTATATTTATAAATTTTTTGAAATCATCTTTTAATTTGTATGACCAGTATACGAGGTGTGACACAAAAAGAAAAACGAGACTGTATAGCTTGAAAACAGAATGGAGTTGGCAACAACTACTGTTTTGATGATGTCATGCCATATACCTCTTCTATCTGTGCGGCCAGTTTCAACTTAACCGCCCGCCGCAGTGAGGAGACTGCGTCATTGAGTGAGCAGGTGCAACTGCATTCTGCCGGAAAAATGTCAAATGTAAAAACCGAACAGCGAATCAACATCAAGTTTTTTGTGAAAATTAAGAAATCAGCCACAGAGGAAACATTTCAAATGTTAACCGATGCTTACAGATAATGAGAGATGAAACTTTGTTTAATGCACATGTGTTTGAATGACATAAGAGGTTTTCAGGGGGAAGGGACAGTGTGGAAAGGGTGCCCAGCACATTCATCATGATTGAATGGGTTCCCAGTGGTCAGACTGTTTATCAATATTACTACATTCAAGTACTAAAAAGACTGCGAAAAAATTAGTAAAAAAAAGGTCCGCAGTTATGGAGTGATGGATGGCTGTTGCACCAGGACAATGCACCCATTCACGTAGCCCTATCTGTCAAGCAGTTTCTGACCAGCAAAAACATTACTGTGATTTTGCATCCCCCTTATTCATCTGATTTGGCTGCATGCGATTTTTTTTATTATGATTATTATTTCCTAAAGTTAAATCTTACTGAAAGGGAACCCATTTTGTCTCAGCTTAAGAGATTCAGGCAAAAATGGAGAACCTCCTGAAGGGCCTTCCAAAAACCTCGTTCCAGAACTGTTACCAGCAGTGGCAGCGCCGAATGGAGAAGTGTGTGAATGCTGAAGAGAACTACTTTGAATGTGATAAAGTCACGGAGAACTGATTCTTTAAGTGCAGTGATTTATTGGACCAGTCTCTTTTTTTTTTTTTTTTGTGTGTGTGTGTGTGTGTGTGTGTGTGTCACACCTTGTATATTTACATTGATTTCATTTTCTCTAAATTCTTTAAAATTTAATTGTAAAGGATTTTATTGATGTTTTAATCTAATTCTGAAGCATTGATTCAGAATTTTTTTTTTTTTTTAATGTGGTGATACTACACTTAATACTTTCATATATAGTTCAAAGGAGTGGCAAAACAATAAATGTTATGCTTTTCCATTAAGGCTGTACATAAGCACTAGAAAACAGTAATTCAAATTGCACAAGCATAACCTATGTTGGTGATCATGATGTCATTGGGTAGAAAATACTGGCTATGCTTAGTTTGCTGTGTTTGAGGATACTGTAAACATTCTTATTTACCACCAGTTTTGTAACTTGCAAACATTTTTCTCTTTGTGAATTTTCTGAAGAGCTTTAATAAACTACCAATGATAAATTTACAGCTTTAGAGACCAAACTGTGGGTAAAGAAATTTTTTTAAAGCAAATGACAAAAAAAAATTTATATAATGATGAGGGCTTTAGGGATAAGGAAATGAAAGAAATTACAGATAGGCAAATTAAGTAAAATTACAATTTAAGAGTATGTAAATGAATTGGTGGAAAAACTTTAGTGTGTTAATTATGGAATGAAAAGTATACTGATTCATCCTGGAAATTTAATCTCCTTTCCACATTAAAAAACGATAACTTTGAAAATAATTATTCTGCTGGTTTTAAAATTGCTACAGATTAGGAAGTAGTTAGTGTAATTCATATTTACTTTACAAATCTTATTTATTTTATAAGTACTACATTATAATGGGAAGGTCAAATGATTGCTGTCAAGTTTCTGTTGAGAACTATTTAATATTATTTTATTATATATCATTATAATATTATAAATTTCTGGCTGTTTTATGATTCTGATTTTCAGTGGTACTTTTAGTATAGTTTAATTTTTATTATTACTCATTTTTAATATTAAGTTTTGATATTAAATTTTTAGGATAACAGCCTTAAAAAAGTGACCAGTGGAAGCACAGCTGCATCTAAAAGAAAATCGCTGCCTCCTCGACGTCTAATAGAAGAGGTTGTGGCATGTTCTAAAATTTCCATTCTGTATAGTTTTTTTTCCCCCCATTTTTATATATCTATATATATGTAGATAAAATTTTTGTTTCTTTGAAATAAATGTGCATAGTTACAGAAAGAAGATGGCCTCTTATGTTTTGTGGTAGTAGCTTATCATAATATTTTTGTTAGTAAAAATCTGCATAACCAAAAATATGTTTAATAAATTTAATTCTATCTAATTTGTATTTATGTAGATTATGATTTTTTAATAGTGATATAAGTTCATTTATCTAAGTTAGTGACTTTCAGCATAATTTTATTATTAAATTTTATTTGATTTGAATTGTCTTAATCTATTATAGGCAGTTGTAGACTACCTAATGCTGAATCAATTAATATTTGTACTAAATTTTGTTTTGCATCAATAAATGATATAATGCTAAGTTTATCCCCACAATGATATGTACCTGAATTATTAATTTTATTTTCATCATATTTAAAATTAGTTAGATAAACAAAAGCTTTTCTTCCCTACTCAGGATTTTCTCTATAAAAATGTAAGAAAATTATGAAATGAAGGCAGCAAAATATAAAATTTAGAATCTCTAATTAAATACTAATATATTTTACTTTATGATTTATATTATAAATACTTCGATAACCCCAGTCATGCATAATAAAGTGAATTTAAATCAGTTATGGATCTTTTAAAAATGGTATTGCTGTGGAGCACTGAAACATTCTTTTGCATAAAAATCTTTCCCCCCCTTTTTTTCCCAAAGTTGGCAGTAATGTACATTTTAAAACTTCAACTTGTTTCATTTAATATCTTAATTAAGTGCTTAAATTTTGAATTAGAAAGACAGCATACATAGCTGACAGAAAAGAAATTATTTGATGTCATTTAAATTTCTAAAACTGAAGAACTCGATTTAATATGTATCCTCATCAAAGCTATCTTGTATTTATGATTATTTATACCCCTGTGCTTGCATTAAATTGGAATGCTCCCTGTATATCTTTTAAATGAAGTGATTATAGATGTTGCTTCTTCGAGTCACTGCGGTTTTGTGTATTGTGGTGAAGCTCCTAGTAGACCACATGACGTGGAGGAAAAATTTTTGATAATAGAAATTATCTATTATGCACTGTCTCATCAGGGAATACTAACACATCACAAATAATCAACCAATAATACGTACATTTCTGAATATAAGGTAAAATTAAAATTTCAAGCATTTACAAGGTTTTAACACAATATACATTCTGAACGTCTAATTCCTTCATTATCCTAATCACAGCTTCTTGGTTTGAAAGTGCCCTTTATTATTTCATGCTAACTTTTCATTCTTGTTCTCAATTTTCTTACATTTTAAAATTTCTGTTCTAAATTAAAGTTAATTTGCCTTTTTTTTTAATACTATATTGTTTCAATGTGAATTAAAGCAATATCCATGTAATATCAAAATTAAGATGTATTTAGCAGCGTAACAATAATGGAATGCTGTTGTTGTTTTTCTCTCTGAATTTTTAATGATTTTATATATATACAGTCAAAAGTCGTTAATCCGGAATGATCTATAATCTGGACCTCAAAGCTACAAACTTTCTGCACATACGTCAACGCATGAGCATAGGTGTTTACGCATGCGCATAATACGTTTACGCATACACGTTTAATATATAACGGACGGTATAAACTAAGCTAAAATTATTTATTTCAGTTAATGTTGCAGATTGCGTTGTTCCTTAATCTTCGGATTGGATCCAGCTTATTATTTTTTGCAGACTGTTAGAGCAATCTTATAAAATTAAGCTTGAACTTTTAATGATGTCAAATAGAATTTCCGATGCTGGAGCTGCCAAAGGATCTATAAAGCAAAGGTATGTTTCGATTTCCATGAAACAAAAAGTGGATTTGCTGCAAAAAATGGATAAAGGCATATCCTTTGTTTCTGTAACCATTCCGAAATCGGTTTATCAATTTCACGCTGCTCAGCGGGGGTGGGGGGCATTGCGGCATGCAATGAACTGGAAGTTGACCTGTCAGCACTATCCTTATCTTCAGGGCAGATGTTTTTATTTTATTCAGCTTATAATTCCTTACCAAATGTAGTATTTCATCTCGATGTATTCCGTTTTTGATATGATTTAAATCAAATTCCTCATCATTATAAATATCACAAGTACACATCAAATAGTTTTCTGGTTGCAATTTTCTAATTTCGACTATGTGTAATGTATGCTTTACGCATTGTGCGTTGAAAGAAATGTTTAATAAAGTAAACAAATATTAAGGTTTTTTTTGGGGGGGTAAATTTTGATACCCTTTAGATCATAATTGCTCTTTATTTCATAAATTACGGTTTCATATTTTTAATTTATAATTTCTGCATGCCATCTTACCAGATTTAAACTGATGATCTATAATCCGGAATCGCAGAAGCCCTGACGAGTCCGGATTAAAGACTTTTGACTGCACTATATTCAGAGTAATACAGATGGATTTTTAGTGTCTGAGGCAATTTCAGAATTGTGCATCTGTGGACTTCTTGATCACTTTCCCATTAATATTTAATTTTTTAAGTTTTTTAAATACTTTTTTTTTCATTTTTGTGGCTATTTTATATATATATATATATATATATATTAATTTCATGCCCCTTTTTTTTTAACTAAAGCAAATGCCTCACTTACACAACCATCTGTATAATTATCAACCTTAAGTTAATATTATTTTGCAAATATAAATTTTAATTTGTGTTAATATATTGCATCTTAGGATAATAGTCATGAAATACCATCATCTCCTCGTATGCAAAATGCCAATATCAGCCATAGTCCTGCTCGACATAAAAGGAAATCAACACCTCCAAGTCGTTTAATACCTGAGGTCTGTTGCAATATTTTAAATTATAATAATTTGTGTGTAATTATAATAGATATTATATAATAATGTTTCGTTTCACTAAATTGTTTAATATACAAATATACTTATATATAACAGATATAATTTTCATATTGAATATACCATATTGATTTAAATACTTAACTGAAAGCCATCTTTGTGATATATATGCAGACAAATGTTTAAGACATATTAACACGGTTTCCCGTTTATGCTGTGATTATTATGCTTTTAGGTTGAAAGATTTGCTTCACTTAAAAATGGGGTATTTAAACTATTTAACCCTTTCCGGCACGCTACCTTTTAAAGTTGGATTTTGATTTTAAAAAAAATTTAAGCAGTCTAATTAGGGTTAGAGAAGTACACAAGTAAAATTTTGTGAAGATAGCACTTATTCTTTTAGTTCTGTGGGTGTGCCCGAAGCAGCCGACTGATTGAATAGAGCTTCAAAAAGAGTGCTGAAGCGAGCATTGCTGGGAAGCGTGTGAAAGAGTAAGAGATTTTGCCTACAGTTAAAAAACACTAGATTCTGAATACTGTAGCAGATTTAGCATTACCCAGGGTGTGCCACGGGGAGACCTGCTACTCTACACACATCCCTAAAAAGCTCTTTTGTGATTATATGATGATGGGTAAAAAAAGCAACTTGAGTATATGATATTTACATTATTTACATTTCATATTTACACTTTAGTCTATTTTTTCATCGTGGTCATTTCAAAGAAAGTGACACCACATTTAAAAAAAGCACAACCCAATATTGCATGTTTTGCACATGTACCGGGATCCGTATTAGATTCACTATCTGAAAGCAATTCGTGTAGCACTTTCAGTGCTTCAGAAATGGTCAGCCGTCTCCGATCTGTTTGGTAAATAATTAAAAATCCGAGAAAAATAAACTAATATTGATCTACAATTGGAAATTACAAACTTAAAAAAAAAAATTAAATAAACGCCTACAACTCAAAACTAAAAATGTAGCACTAACAAAACTCCTTTGAACGAAAGCATAGAGATCTAGTGAAAACTGAACAAAAGCAAAAGGTTACAGCCAGCTGATAAAATTACCTTTGACCTTCAGAAAATCACCCCAACAATTTGTTAGTTGATAACCAAATGTAGGGGGGGGGAGAAGAGAGAGAAAAGAAGAAAGAGAAAAACAGGAAATGAAACACAGATGTGGACGCACCTTTCTGTTGTCAATGAATTGACCGATAAGATGCGGAGAAACAAAGAATACAGTCTCTCAGTTGTCCTAGAGTCTCGGTGAGCCCACTTTGTGAACACCTGTGGTTCAATTTTACGCAAGATTTCAAGGGGAAAATTTAAAACTAATATAGAATAAGAAGATTAACGTACAATAAAAAAAATAACATAGAAATTTCTTTTCAAACAATTCCTTTTCTACCTTAAAAAAAATCTGGAAGATTTCTTAGAAAAATGAGGGTCTTAAAAAACTAAACATGGCCAAAATATATGAACTGGTTTGTGTTGAGCTGCCATCTGCTATAAGTAAAAAAGGTTCAGAGTAACCTATAAATCGTTTTTTATTCAATTTTTCTGTGCGTACAGAAGGAAATTTTTAGGTGTGCCCAGACCAGGCACACCATGCCGCAAAGGGTTAATCCTCTTTCTGTTTGAAATATATACATTATCTTGTTCATAGTATATCAGGTTCAATGTTTCGCCTTACTTTCTTTGGGAACATGCAAGGACCTGACTCGGAACAGGGAGCTTACTAAAGCTATGTTCAATAACTGTGGGAAGTAGACAAGATACACAGGAACGGTATACAAAACCCTTTATTTTTCACTCTTTACAATAATTTCCGTACTTCGGAATACAGAGACCAACTACTTTTGGTCTGAACGTAAGAATATAAAAATATAACTAAACTCTAACTTAAATTTGGAATATCAACAAGGGCCTACGTGGAAGATTGGCCGGATATTAACAGGAAGCCGTATGTAGTACAGAGAACTGTTAACACTACAATACGTTTAAAATTATCACGAGGATTAAACCTCTGGCCTGGAAGGCAAACCAGCAACCGAGTAAAACTTCTAAGGCAAGCGGCCTGCTTCGACTAACTCCTTCCTCTCTCTCGCTTGGCAAAAAGCCACAACTTAAGTACTTGGCGTTCGCCAGACAAATTTTGCATAAATAAGTTAACGCTTTTAATTCTGGCCGGAAGTAGAAAAATAAGTGATAGTAAAGATTTAAAATAAAATAAACATTAGTAAAACTTAGGATCCTTACATACTTCCCGCCAGAGTTAATTAGTTTGAAACTGAGGTCTAAAACGACCTTGTTGAAAACTTTTAGCTCTAGAATCTAACGCGAGGCCAATCTTTTACAAACATTTCTCCCTAGAAACTAGAAATTAAAAAAAAAAATTTTTTTTTACAATAGCAGCTCCATGGACACCCAATTTTTCATCTGTACTCCATCTAAACAGGAGCTTTTATTCAAATCTGGTTAAGGAAGGAAAACTAGTTTAATGAAATCTTACGCAATGAAATGGCAAGTAACATGCATATTTATATTTCTCTTAACATTCTTATTTCATTCATGACTATTTTAATTATCTCTCCCCGTGCTCTCTGACATGTGTTGTAAAAGAACACCAAACACGAATGTGTTTATGTCTACGTGTTCAACACTTCCTCCTACAATCAAAACACTAACGTGTTAAAAATTCAACATACAAGACCTCGTAACACACCCTATCTTCAACTCTAAACCCTGAGGTACTATTCTGAAAGTGGCTAACTCTGAAGTGTAGCGTCAGAGAGCCTAACTACATTCATTCAACCTTTAACACATATTCACCATAATTTGGTCTTTTTACAGTCACACGAAAAAAAAAAAATTTTTTTTTTTGCATTACTTTCACTTTTACCATATCATAGTATTTCATATCATAGTATTTCTTAATATCATAGTTATTTTCATAAAATAAAGTATACATAGTATATCATAGTATTTCATTTAAAATAACAGTTCACATTGTATATAAGAACATATTAACATGCCGTTAATTTTACGCATTTTAAAAAACATACATTAGTAGTACATTGTTAACTTCTATTCTTTTCCAAAGCAAGTGCCAATTCTTCTACATTGAAATACTACATTTCAAAAAGTCTTTCAGACTAAAACTTCTTTCTTGCCAGAATGTTTTAAATAAAATTTATACAATAACTTTTACAATATTTAAGTATTTACACATTCGCTATTATACATCAACTTTAGTTTTACGCGCGAGTAATTGAAAAACATAATACCAAAATCGGTAACAACTCATTTCTCGCCCTTTTGGCGATAAAGGTAGACCTCGCATGAGGTAAAACTTCTTGAAATCTGCCACTTGCAGTAAGAATGAAAGATTAACTTAAGTTTGCAAAGTAACAGTAACATAAAATTTTACTTATCTTTGTGATATTCGGACATTCTTTTCTGAGCCCAGTCCTGGAAGGTAGCGCAGATTCTGGTTTGATTTATCCTTCTTGTGCGGGCTCGCCCTTCAGTGCCTTCCTCTAGAAGCTTTCTTTTTCCTCCAGTTCGGTCACCCTTGAATACCTTCTTTTTCGCCTCTGCCTGTGGTCTTCTTGGCCGTTTGATGGCAGCTGGTCTTGGCGGAACCGGGACAACTTCTTTCGCGTTCCTGCTTGGACCTCGTTGCTGGCCGTTCAAATTTTCCTTGTATCTTTTCCTCCGCCGCTGGTGGCCCTTCCGCAGTTCGGCGACATTTGCTGCGGAGAGTCCTGTCCGGATGAGTCGATCTTCCGTTTGGGAGCCGGGTTATAGTTGCCGTCATTTCTCCTGGCTCTTTGCATTCGTCGTACTTCTCCCTTCTTCATTCTGGGGGTGTTCGTGAGCTCTCTTTTCTGGACGGTGGAACGGCTTCTTTTTCTTGTTACCTTCAATTTTCCAACGGGGAAACTTTCTTTTCAATTGCTCCTGCCTCTAATGGCTTGCCCTTTGTACTTGTCGTTGTTCCACCTCTGGAGCTTGTGCCTGCCGGTGTCTGCCGTGCCGGATCCTGCAAAAGATCTTTGAAAATTTGCATTTTATTACGATCATAGTAGGGTGGTTTTATTGATCAATGTTTGCGGAGCAGGTTTCACCATTTCCTGGCTTTTAACACCACTACAGCGTGAGTTATTTTTTCTATGACATATGGTCCTTCAAATCGTGGAAAAAATTTGGCAGTTTTATCTTCTGGTGCTGAAGAAAGTGAATGCTTAATTTTTAACACTTCATCCCCTACTTTATAAGTTACTCCCCGTCGTTTCAATCATAATAAAGCTTCTGTTTTCTCTGTGCTACTTCAGTATTCTTTTTTGCTTCTTTAATTAATTTTTCTATATCACCCATTTTAAATTCTGGGGCTCTTTGTTGCACATAAAATAATTTATCTAACGGCGTTATAATCTTTCTGCCTAAAAATAACTCAGCAGGAGTTTTGCCCGTTGTATCATGTTTTGCGGTCCTAAGGGCGAAAGCAAATTCATTGACATAGTTATCCCAGCTTTTATGAAAATTTTTAACATAACTACGGATAATTTTCACTATATTTCTATTGACCCGTTCCGCTATATTTGATTGCGGCCGATACGGGACCATTTTTAAATGACGTATGCCCAGTTTTTGGCACATGTCTTCAAATATATTACTTACAAATTGAGGACCATTATCCGATATAACTTTTAGGGGCGCCCCGTATTTTAAAATATATTTATTTAAAATAGAATCAGTAACTAATTTCGCGGAGGCTCGTTTTAAGGGAACAATTTCGGTCCACTTACTAAAATGATCAACCATAACAAGGAGATAGCGACTTTTATTTAACTGACTTTTTGGGAAAGGGCCCAATAAATCGATGCCAATTATTTCATTTGGAAATTCGGATTTAATACTATTTAGAAACCCGGCCGGGCGGAAATTAATATAATTAACTGCTTGACATGTTGGGCAGGACT